TAACTCTTTAAGCCGTGCTCAGCAATGCGGCGTCTAATTGTTCGTTCGGATATTGTTAGGTTCAACTTTTCTTTCACTCCGCGGATGGTAACAAACGGATCCTTTTTGATTTCCCGGATGATTCTGGAGTCCTCTCGGTGATCAGATTTACGTTTAAGTCCTCGTCCAGATCGATCTGCAACGCTTCCAACCCGTTGGTGCTTCAAAATTATCTTTTGAACCGCACCGCGACTCACAGAGTATTTTTCGGCAATTTTGCGCTGAGATTCGTTTTTCTCAAAGTCACGAACGATTAGATTCCGAATTTGATACGAGATTTTCTTTCCACCCATATTTGAACTTTCAAAAACTCGTTACTTTCGCACAATACGTTTACTTCTCAGCGCTGCAGCAGAGATTTGCGATGAATGTAAATAAACAAATGTCAACATTAGGAATTGTGAGGGGTATGTCAACGGAATTTATACGGCAATTTTTTTTTCTACAGGTGGATCTTTTTTTATGTCATACCGTAAACAAGGGGTGCGTTTGAATTTCGTTAGTGGTTGACCTGAACTGATTCGTATATTGAAACTCTTGCACGTACTATAACAAGTGGTACTAGAACAAGCTTAAAACGTGCAATAATATAGCTTTTAAAAAGTGCTTGGGAAAGAAAACCGATTTATCTAACAAGTGAGCCGGTGGATCTTTTTTTATGCCGGTCACTGTACATAATGGTTTTTAGTGATGGCCTCGACAGCTCTGGGATAGATGGTAGCGTACTCTTCTGCGTTTTTGTTTTTTATGAATTGCGCTGAGCAGGGCGAGCACATGGCACCAAACGTGGCGACATCCATAATGTAGATTTCGATGTTTCCATCCGGGCTGCTTCTCCAGAGAAATCGTTGGAACTTCGTATCGTTTACTCGAATCCAGATTTGGTGAAACATCTCACATATGTCACCACATACTGCAACATTTCGTTCTCTGAATCGGAGAATGACCGCCACTAAAGATGTAAGAAGATCCGGTCCTTTTAGAAGTAGGTCGTTGAAACTAACACCTTCCACCTTCGCGGCAGCGTCCCAGATCAGACGGATTTTCCCAGGCTTTCTTGGATTCACGACTACTCCTAATGGAAGGTACCATACACGTTGATGATCCGTCTGCTCGAGCTCTTCCTTTGTTGCCTTGTGAGCGTATCCCTTCTTCACGTAGCTTTCGATCTGCTCGTTCACTTTTGCAGCTAGTTCCGGATTTCGTGCCAGGCGCTTCTCCAGACTCTTCAATCGTCCTTTTGCCATGGGCAGGCTGTCAGGAAGCACGGGATCATCAACTCTCCACAGCAGCCCTGTTTCATAGTGTTTCCCTTTGCGGACTGTAGTTTGTTCCAAGATTTGGAGTGCGCGTTTATCTCCCTCGCCCTCAAGCTTCTTGGTAACGGCACTTTCTTCGACAGCAAAGTAGCTTCGCATCATGTCGTGGAGCGATTGATTGCTTACAGGTTGAACATAGTGAAAATTTAGGTTCGCTGATGTAGGGACGCTATCAGATTCCTTCCCAAGCGCACACCAACCCAGCCGCGTCTTGACAGCAATGAGCCCATCGTTTCTTCTTTCTCGTGTCTTCAAAGCAGTGAGCAGTCTTACATGTTCCAATCCTATGATCATACGCGGTACGATGTTCGAATAGCTTTGTAGAGGTAATCCCCTCAGATGAGGATGCTGATCGGCTAACCCTTCGTAGTTGAAAGTCTGCTTGGGTAGATTCAGCTCGTCGACGGTTTGAACATTCTCCATGGGGTACTTTTTGTGCGAGCTCTCACCGGCGATGGTCAAACTGACGCGCTTCGATCCCTTCTCTTCTCTGGAAATTTTCCCAGTCCACGACAGCCATAACGAAGAAGAAGGCCCATCAATCCCTAGCTGCTCGGCGACCTCAGCCTCCAGAAGAGTTAAGCTTGATCCTTCGTCCAGAAATGCAAAGATGTTCACAACTTTACCATTCCCAAACAGCTTCACAGGGAGATACCTGAAGAGAGAGTACGATTTACCGCAGTGATGGTTCTGGTGAGCATGCAATCCGTCGTTAGAAGATGAAACTTCCGACAAAACTTGATCCGTTTGCTGGGCGTACTGAGCGTGCAGAAGCTGATGGTGACGTGACCGGCAACCTTCGAGTCCACATTCCTTCTTCGACCGACACGGCCATTTTCGATGAGGCACCAAACAGGTCCGACAAAGGTTCTTCTGCCGAATGGCCTTCCAGCGAGCGTCGATGTCAAGTGCTTTAAAGGATTGGCAGCTCGCTATTTGGTGGTTTGCATCTTCACAGTAGGTACATCCTTTGAGTGGTCGATCCTGGGCAACTTCCGGGTTCCGTTCCTGCTCATTTGATGATTCTTGAGTGTGAATGAAGAGTTTTTCCTTGTGCTTGTCGGATCGACTCTCCTTCGTGTTAATTTGCAGAGATTCTGTATTGAGCATGAGATCAGAAGCCAGGCCCACTAGATTTGACATAAAGTGGTTGAATGTCGCCAAGTTGACATCTGTTTGTGATTGTTTATAACTACCCCACTGCAGTTTCATGTGGGTGGGTAGCTTCTCCACGAGCTCGTTCAGAAGCATTGGATTCGTGAGATGGTTTTGCTGTTCCGCAATGATCATGTGATCGATCAAATTTTGAACCGCCAGTCCGTAGTCAACTATTGACCTGAGGTTATCTGCCTTCGGGGCAGGGGCAGCTCGTACACGCTTGAGGAGTGAATTTATTAGAAGTTCCGGTCTTCCATACAGCATGCGAAGGGTTTCCATGACACTGGGAACCGAGGAAGGCAGCAGCAAGCGGCTTCTTACTGCTTCTAGAGCGTTTCCTCGCAAACATCGTTGGAGTCTGGCCAGATTTTCAGCGTCGCAGTAACCACAAACCTCTGTGGAGTTTTTAAAACTGCTATAGAAAATAGGCCATTCTTCTGGAACGCCCGAGAAGATAGGCAAGTCTCTCGACATGACCTGACGAGCGGCTATCTGAGAAGCATTGGGTCCAGGTGGCACTGAAACCTGTTGGCTATTTCCCGGTCCGTATGGGTTTATCCCTAGCGAAACAGGAGCTGTTCGGTTATTCGATAGCGTTGCTGATGGTAGCCCAACGTGTTCGAAACCCAGATGTACTGAATCAGGATTCCAACTGGGTACAGTTGACGGAAATGGATAAACGTTGGATCTGCCTATGGGTTCATATCCCATCGTTGTCATTGGGAGATTCTTTTGCATCGAACTTCCTTGGGTTGCAAATACTTCCGTAGCTACTACCGGCATCCCAGATGAAAACGTTGGAATTGTAGTAGTCCTCATGGATGTTCCCCAGGGAAATGTGTTGGCAGACGTACGTGGAAGGTAGCTCGTTGGTTGCACAGGGGGAGGATAATCAATCGGCTGCACATGTTGGTTGTTCGCTTGAGGTGCCGTCGTACTGTCGAACGTTCTCGACGAAAATGCTACCGCTGGAGGTGCTACTCTGGATAGTGCTTGACCGACCATGGAAACAGATGGATTCTTCAACTGTGCCGGAGTAGAAACGGTTTTCGGTCCGCTTCCTACGGGAGACTCTTCCAACTTCCTCGAAACTGACTGTGCTTCAGAGGTAGGAATTAAACGTACTTTCCCTTGCGTTGCTCCGGTTATTCCGCTGCTGTATGGTACACTAGGCAGTCTGGGATCCATATTGTTGATGGTGCTAGCAATCGCCTCGTCCTCCAACCATTTTTCCAACCTCTGCTGCTTCGACTTCGCGCTCACATTACTTCTGTTGCTAGCCAAGTCTTCTTCTTCCTCCAGCTGCATCAATATGTCGAACTTTTCCTTCAAATACTTTTCTTCCTCTTCTAGCCGCTTCATTTTCAGCTTGTTCTGTTGCTCCAGAAGCTCCAGCTGCAGTTGTGCCCGTCGAGACCTTTTGCTCGACGCCGATGTGTACGCCGTAACGGCAGAACTAGCTTTCTCCTCCTCCGCTACTGCTAATGCTGTGGGTCGGCATTTCTCGCACCTCCACGACCGATTCGGATCGGCAATCGAATCCGATACACCGGCACATCCGAAGTGTTCCCAAGTTTCGCAAGCGTCACATCCGACCATATTATCAGCAGTGTCGGGTTTATCGCACTTCTGGCAGTGATTTTCATCCTCCGGCGATACTAGCGGCATTTCGATTTCAATCCCACTCGGGAAATTGAAAATCTTTGAAGTTTGTTGCGGGAGTAAAACAAACACTGTTCCGATAGTTGCGGTGACTGAGCAACTTCAAAGCTGCAAATTTATTTCATATTAGGTTAATAAAGTTGTTTTAAGGTTTTACTTTTGAACTTACATTTTCAGTGTTCGCTCATCCGAAAATAAGGTTATGTTTTTCTCTGCCGCACTTCTCTCATCTAGAACCTGTCGTAAAAGCTTATTACATATCGAGTTACACAAGTTCATATGGCAATTCTTACCGTAGGTACTAATGCTAAGTTATTTTGAACTAATTGAATATAAACGGAATGATTTTACTGGGTATTTAGAGCAAAGTTATCAATTCACTTTTTTTCCTTGTATCGCGCACCAGGTGCTTTTTCGTTTTGACAGTTTCTCGCGCTAATCGTTCGAGGGAGTGGACGGTAGCTTCACGTCTGCGTACGCACAGTGGGCACGGCAACACCTACACATTGCAAGAAAATTTGAACAATCTTGAAATAAATTTACGCTAAAAACGTTGAAAATAGTGACTGATAACAAAAAAAATTACTTTAGTACCTTTTTAATCTATTAGTGACTGACTTGAAAAAATGAACATGTCACTAAAAAGTGGCTCACTACCAGCCTTGCATATATTTTCCCATGCAAATTATTATGCTCTCCTGCAAATCCAGACCGTAAACAAATTCGTTCGATCAATACGAATCGAAAAAGCTGGAGGGAGCAGGATCACGATTTCAAAGTTTGTCTTTAAGCCTATTTATATCCTTTATTTTCTTTCAACAGGGCGGCTGCGTATACAAACAACAGTCAAAGCGTGCTGCTGAACATGCTCTCCAGTGAATTCACAATTATAGACAACCCCTTCAATGAGGATGAGCCAATTACCGGTTTATATCTTTTGAACAAAAATCTTTTCTTACATACAAAACTACGTTATGCCTACTACGACATGCGAGGAACGCTGATCGAGAAACAGGAAATTGAGGATGTAACGGATGCGTGGGAATTATTATGTAAACTTTCTTTGATTTCTCATTGAATGCTTGAGTTGAACAAAGTCTTCCATTAATGTTGCAGTTATGGAGTTTACATCCTTCACGGATTTCTTCGCAGTTTTGTGGTCCGGAACAATAAACGATACCAGGCTTATGCTGTATACTAGCAAAGAAGAATTGAAAATACCACCAAGAACAATGCACAGCGTTATCACTATGAAGAAAGATAGAAATACAATGTACTGCTGTTACCTAGAAAATCTTTACCAGGTAGCTGTGCAGAACTTGCTCGACAACATAAATATAATTACAAAATTAAATAATCATCAATATTCGATCAAAAGGTTAGCGAATTCCAATACGAAGAAAACGAAGAAAATAAAACGGCAGAATGGAATCATGTGCGCGATTTGCCTCGCTATGAGAATGATGTCAAGGAAATGGCACTTCAGCTCAAGATGGATCAGAACGATCGTTTCTTGCTAGCTAGCACAGCTAACGGATTTGTCGTTTGGGACTTTGACACGGAAGAACCCATCTCTGAGGAAGCCATATATCTTGCATTACCTCATGGCGTACGCAATATTTCCACCAAGATGACTCAATCAAACTCCGTTATGATCAGCTCCAAAGTGGATTATGCGGTGGCCGGGGTGCGGTAAGGTAACGATAGCTATTCTTAAGCTTAAGTACTCAACTCTAGGTTTTAGGAAAAATTTGTACGTTTGGTGCGTCAAAACGAAGCAACTGATGAAGGTCTTGGATGCGCATTTTGGAAGAATCATGCAACTTGAAGCGCTGACTATTGGTACTTGGAACAGCGTTATTACATCCAGCATTGATAGGTCGGTTAAAATTTGGAACATCAACAATATTTTCGAACAAGTTCACGTGATTGACAGACATGAGCTGCAAATTGACAGCATCAGGTTTGTAACAATAATACATATAAACAGTTACATATAAACAGTAGATTGGGTTAAACAGTAGTGTTCTGTACAGCAAGTTATTTTTTCAGAAAACTGCGCACCATTTACAAAACCAGTAGCTTGAAAATCTGTGATATTAAGTTTCAACTAGGGACTGGCGTAATTTTTTTAATCACTGTAGAGTTTAACTGAAAAGTACAATAGCGTATAAATGATAGTACGGAAAAAATGATCATCGAATTAATAGTTTAAATTTTCTTTAACCGAAAAATCACCCAAGGTACATGAAATTTCGAATATCGAAAAAAAAGTGTCATGCCAAATGATATGAAACTGCGTGAAACGTCGAGATCTAGACGTCTTTCTAGAAATTTGTTGTGATCGGGATTATCATATTGAACATTGATTAACTGGTTTATAAAACTGTTCACTACCATCTCCAAACTACTTGAATATCATTTTAAACCGTCACTAGCATTTGATACGTGATACTTTACTAGGTTGATTAACTTATGTTCATTAATATAAAAAATGAAAATACAAGCAAAAATCATTAGTTTCTAGCATCTCAATTATGCAAAGTTTCACACAAATAGGAGAAGGTCGAGTCTGAAATCCATTTTTTATTTGCTATTTGGTCTGGAAATGCACCATAGGCTTAGTTCAAAAGGACTAGACCAAGAGGGTCACCCCAAATTTTCTCACTATGGGATTTGACAAATATGACAGTACACTCTTAACTGGACCATAATTGTATGGCCCATAACAGCTACAACAACAACACATATGCATTTTGCGTTTGCGTTGCGTATCTTACAGCTGTTGCTGCATGTGTGTGTTTTGTGTGTCCCTTGAGAAAATAAAATGTCGACACCTGGAAAATGACCACATCCCCGTGGACTAGACCTACTTACATCAGCGTTTCTCAAATTACGGGCCGCGATCCACCGATTAATCGTGGACTGCTCTCAGGTGAGTCGCAGAAATACAGACAAGTTGGATCGCTCTTTTGGGACTTTTTCATTACTTTTTAATATAGAATACTTTCGTTAAATCCAATTGAATTTTCAGTCAACCCATATTAAAAAAGATAATTTAGTACTATTAATCTCCCTATCAAAATTCAAAATATGCGCACCGTAGAGCCATACTCTTTGTTTACACTGAAGCTACTCGAGAGCGTTTTCAAGTGTACCTTTACTGAAAACACAGAGTGGCTCTACGGTGCGGATATTTTGAATTTAAATAACACTAAACTATCTATTTTAAGATGTGTTAACTAAAAATTCAAATGGATTTAACGTTGGCATTCAATATTAAAAAGTAAAGAAAAAGTTCCATCCCTGATCATATGTTTAGTTATTTGGAGTGAAGATACTGAGAAGAAAAGCACACATTATGAGCAGGACACGTTCGAGAAAGTTTGCGAACAAATTGAGATTTTATTATCGGTACACTTGAATGACAGAAAAGACCACAAACGACAATCGATTTTACTCTCGTTCTATACGTTATACAAAGTGTCAGGAGTAACTAGTGGGGTTTTTCGGTTTCCAACTGTACCGACAATACTAAGGGTACACACTTAGAAATTTTTACAGAAATCTGTAAAATTTTACCGAAATCTCAACAGCTGAACGTTCGGTAAACAGTTTCGCAGATTTCCTGTAATTTTTCACATATATCTGTAAATAGTTACAGGAAAACTGTTAAATTGTTTACCGAACGTTCAGCTGTTGAGATTTCGGTAAAATTTTACATAAATCTGTAAAATAATCTTAGTGTGTACTCATACTCGGCTAATGACGTATCACATCCGTCACTCAGGGTGCTACACTTAGGCTGTGAACCATTTGCAGAGTTAAATTTAACTCGTGGTTAAAAGTGACATTTCGAAAGTTATTCTCTATGTTCGAAAATCCCTGTGCTGTCGATCGATCGATTTTCGAGAAGAACTCAACCACGATTGTCAAAATTTTACTTCTTGTCTGTCAGAAATAACCACGCTTGGATAGCAAGGGGGGGAGGTGGCTGTCAAATACGAACAATCGTCGCCTACCTCGCATAGCTGGTTCCAAACGTAAACAAGCCATAAGAAACCTACAGCGTTTGTTTACGTTTGGAACCAGTTTCATACAAGAATGATCAGTAGGCTGATTTGACAGCACGTCCCCCCCCCCAGTTGGATAGCAGAGTTTAACGATAACTTTCCATCTGTCAAATGTTAACCAAAAGTTTAAAAAAAAACACCAAATGGTTCAGAGCCTTAACTCGCAAACGTTCTGCATACTCGTCTCCTGCTGATCATGCGTGCCTGTAACGCTCTAGCTACTCAGTATCAGTTGATGATGAACGAACACAGTAATAGGGGGAATGGCTCTAATGTTAGCCTATAGATAAAAACCTCCTGTTTTACAAAATTTTCTTAGCACAATGCGTCATCTGGATAATACAAATAGATAATAGGTTGCTAGTGAAAAATTTGTATAAAATGCTTTCCTTCGAAATTTATGTATGGGCTCAATATTAGTTCCACTCAATGCCGACAGTAGGGATATTCCCCCTATGTTTTCAAAATTGTATGCATTTAAATCCAGTTGGATAGACTAGCACCATTTTGATTTTTTTTTGTGTTCTTATAGGAACATTTGAACGTTTCAACATTATTTAGATTTTTCGTTTAGTATTATCAGTAGTATAAGTTCACAATGAAATCTCAAATCTAAGGAACTTGATTAAGTATAGGACTTTCGTAATACTTTCTAAACCAAAACGTCAAATCCCATAGAACCAGAAGTTTTAAAATCGAAGATATGTTGGATAGAAGCTAAATGTTAGGGGTTTGACAGCTGTAGTATAGAGTTCACCAGATGCACAAGATTGTGCGTGAGATCACATGAAGCCTTTTTAAGTTATTGTACACAGAGGCAAATAAACTTAAAAATTTCATAAAGCTCGACTTGTGAACGACACATATGAATTTCATAAGCGTGACTTATGAATGAATTTCTGTCTTACATGAGGTAGATATTATACGCCTTTAACCATTTCATTATAACAAGCGTTGAAAGACGAGTCAACACACGGACCTCTTAATCTCAACGTCCATGGTTCGGTTCGAATCTGCTCCGTTTTATTATTTTTTGTTAACATTATTTTGCACGGGGAGGGTGGGTTTGCTAAGCCGTTAGACACCCTACCTGAGCTAATATGGTATGGAAGGAAGATACTGGAATTTTGTACAACTAATATAATAAAGCAGTACACGGTATTGTAGAAAAAAAAACTTACTGTACACATTACATGAAAGATCGCTATAAAAAGGTGTAAATTTACAGTCTTTCAGAAAATGGTGAACTGGCGGTAACCGTCACAAGATGCTGCGTTGGTGTATGGGAAATAAGAACCGGACGGCTACTGTCCAAGCTAGCGGACAGTCCTTTGGGAGCTATTGTAACTCACGCGGAGATCACACCGGACGGACGATACATTGTATCATCAGAAACAGGAAAAATTCTCATATGGAACAGAGTGACAGAACAAGTACTTTCACGGGACTCTCAGCCGGGCATACAGCAGTTGAACTTTTTGGATAACGGAGAGAAATTTTTAGCCGTTTCCTGTCCGAATGCTACGAGCGCATCGGCTTCAATGACTGGCGGTGATGACCAAAAGCTAATGGCTCAAGTCAAAATTCGTAGTATTCCGGATGGACAAACGATTTTCAATTTCGAATATCCCGTTCGATTGGTACCAGGATTACCATTCCGATGTGCTGTGGTGACAGCTGATGGTCAGCATATAGTTTGTACTTCAGTGGATAAGAATAACAAGGACTCGGTTTGGGTTTACAATGCGACCAATGGCACCCACGAACACAAGATATCATTGAAAGGTTGCAATATTAAAGAAGTTGTTTCTCTGCTTCCTCTTCCGCACAAGCCCACACAGGTGGCAGTCATAACCAATGAGAAGGGAAGTATTATGGACATTAAAACTAGGAAACATGTCCGCTCTATTCCGAAATGGGGAGGTACAAGCACCAAAGATGGCAAGTTTGGTCTTTATGCGCCATCACGAGGTGGCCTAGAACTACTAGAGCTCAAGAAAGGATCGACAGTGAAGACTTTCATTCCCAAAGTCGCTGAAGGTGTATTTACGGTGATTTGTATGTTTACCGACACAGACGAGTACGTTCTTTACTACCACAGTGGTAGAAAAACTTTGAGAGTATTCCGTACCAGCGACACTGAAATGATCGCCAATTACCGTATGCAAGCCGAACTCACGGCCATCAAGAGCACCTCGGATGGTAAAAGCCTGGTCCTGGGCACTGTCGATGGTTGTATTTCCGTGCTGGCTATTGCTGATCAGGAAAAACCTGAAATGCAAGAATTCCTCAAGCAACTACCTTCACGTGATGCAAATGTAAATAGGTACACTCATGTCTGTCATGGCAGCTAATTTACACATTTTATTTCCTTTCCAGTGGAAGAAGAAACTTGCAAAACAGAAGGCATCTGCCAGGTTCAAAGCCGCGATGAGATTGGCTTCCATCTCAACTCGATTCGGAACACCGGCAGATGAAGATGAGGATGACGATGACAAAGACAATGAAAATTAAATGAGAATATTCTACAGTGATTTTAAACTATTGTTACCTTAATTCATTCCAATAAATCACATGTTATTAAAATCTATCCATCACACCATAAACTCGTGACTTGCCCCAATCCGAAGCATGAATGTTAACCACTACGATGAACCCGTCTCCATCCGAAGAAGATTGATAATTCTGACCAGAGTTATACAGTAATCCCTTAGTCCATCCACCGCTAATTTTTCGTATGTGATTAGTGTCATCCATAAACTAGTAATCTATAGAAAATTAGCTCATTTGGTTGAAGGACAGCACAGTGGACGGTACCACCAACCACATGAATGGAGGGATTACTGTAGTTATACGACCACTCCCGTTCATAGTAGTGGCTAAGGGAGGGGAGGGTGGAAATGAGGTGGAACTAACTCTAGATTACTCGATTGCTCTTAGGCCAACAAAAGTCGGCCCGCATAGAAAACAACCATAAAAAGTGACTAACAAGTCACTAACAAACAATAATGCCGACTAAAAGTGAAACCCTTGCTCCATTTCTGATATCGTTCATGCATGGGGCTCATTTATTAGGGGTGTGTATCGATTCAAGTTGCCCTAGAGGCCTTTGATAAGCTCTGCTGACACAAAATCACTGCCGATGCAAAATCTTACATATCTCATAGAAAACCATTACAATCCAAAACATACTTACTTACTTACTTAAGTATCCTGACTAGGGCACCAGGTCAATCCTGGAATTTCAAACGCTACCCCCTGGAATGGTTGTTTGGGCTTGAAGTTTGTATGGGAGAAATCGACAAATCTCGAGCAAACCGAGAAAACAAATCGACAAATCTCACGCAACACGAGATCGATTCTATCGATTTTCTCTTTCGCGAATAACCCGACTGCAAATATATTTCCCATTCAGTATGTTGTTTCAGGCGCTAGCTAACATCATCTTCTGTCGAACTGTGCTGCGAGCTTAGCGATAAATTTGTTTCTGCTGCCGTGGTAAACCAAAGAGAAAGTCGATGAAGAGAATTAATTTAGCTTTATTTAGGAGGCTTTCAGCCTTAGGCTGGTTCGCCTCGATGAAGAGAATCGATCAACGAGGATAGATCCTTTTCAAATATTACGCGAGAAATATGTATATGGGGGAACAAACCAGCATTCGGGCCTCTAGGTGGCGCTGTAGTTGGTCGATTTTCTTAGTGTGCAGAATTTAGAACCTCTTGAGTATTGGGAACATCTTGGCTGAAGACCGGATGTGAATCCGAGTTAACCCCGAAAAGTTATTAACGTTTCAAATGAACACCACGGACAGGCATACGAACAACAAAGTTTGTATGTGTATAACTTGGCATAACATGAAATTGGCTGAAATTTTAAGCAGTAAGTACAAAAGTATGCGAAATTTTGGTCTACTTCAAATTGGAACAGATTGCCTAGTGGTTCCGGTTTTATTCCGGATTTCCGGGAGGTGATCGGGTGGAGGGGGAAGGTTTCAGTAGTCTATAACAAGATGATGCAGAAAAGTCGCTAGGTAGTGCTGATTAATAATTTAACAAAACACAATCTCTAAATACCTGATGACCACCGGAAGGTCATCCGGTAGCCCGGAACAATCGTAATCTTGATTATTGTATATTTTTGATCAAAGTATGCCTTGATTTTTCTCTGCAACTATATGAAATGTAGTAAAATAGTGACTTTTGATAGAGTGGTCACCATATGGTCCACCTGAAGATCTGAAACATCCGTAAATTTTAATCCGTAAATTTGATCACGTAGCATTTGTTTATTCTTCTGCATCTATAAAAGATGCGGCAAAATGGTGATTGTTGATATATTAGCTGGTCATTAGCTCTGAGTGGTCACCAGATGGCCCATCGGAAGATCCGGAACATTCGTAAAATTGATTGCTGTACATATTAACACTCCGAATACGATGCCTCCGAAAAACGTGTAACGGCAAGTTTGTAATGGCTCAACTTAGCCATTTCTTAATGAATTTCAAAAATTTTGGTACCTTTAGAACTCTTTTGGTTTGTAGATAATTTTGATTGTAAAAAGATTGAAAAAAGAGTCGTCTACTTTTTTAAAATGCGAAAAGAGTTGTTACACATTTTTTGGAAAGGTGTGTTTGTAGGGTTTGCAAGTGGCGCAAGACCTGTAATTTAGATTAATGGACACAAATGTTCACAATTAACCGGAATATAGTCATGGTTTCTATACATGGATCCTGGAGACAACAGAACGGTCCTCGAAAAATCCGTAGCATATGTAAAAGTGGTCAATCCATGAACCTGATCCTAGAGCTCAATAGTACTTATTCATATAAATTCAAAATAGGATTCTTTTTGTTTTAATAAGCCACTTTTCAACTGCAACTATTGTAAAAATAACAATATTCTATTATTAAGCCAAACGGTTTTTTCGAAAGCATGTGGAACTGCGATATAAGAAAGAATTTGGGGTCATGACATAAACATGGACCCAAATGGCCATGGGGCCATCCTCTGGTAAGTCCAGAACGTCCGTAAAAGAAGTCAATCAATGAAACTGATCCTAGAGCTCCGCAGTTTTTTTTTTTCAAAAACATCAGGAACTGTGATATAAGAATGAATTTGTGGTCGTGACATAAACATATACCTAGATAGCCATGGGACCGTCGTCCGGAAGATCAAAAACATCCGTAAAATGGTCACTCCATAAAATTGAGAGGTGTAAGCAGTACTATGACGAGTACCTCAACGGTGATGCAGTAGAAAACAAAGGTGGCACGGCAACAGATCTTGGAGTACGCGCAGAAGACGACAGGCTACCGGCCCCTGGTCTTCAAGAAGTTGAGGAGGAGATCGGTCGGCTGAAGAACAACAAAGCACTGGGTAATTGCCAAGATTTGGGAGGAGGAGATATTACCGGAGGAGTGGATGGAAGGTGTCGTATGCCCAATCTACAAAAATGGCGACAAGTTGGATTGCTGCAACTACCACGCGATCACAATGCTGAGCGCCGCCTACAAGGTACTCTCCCAAATTATATGCCGCCGCCTGTCACCATTTGCAAGAGTTTGTAGGGCAATACCAGGCGGGATTCATGGGTTCATATTCGCGATTCAGCAGGTTCTGCAGAAATGCCGCGAATACAACTTGCTTACACATCATTTGTTCATCGATTTCAAATCCGCATACGACACAATCGATCGTGATCAGCTATGGCAGACTATACGCGAGTATGGATTTCTGTATAAACTGACGCGATTGGTCAAGGCGACGATGGATCGAGTGATGTGCGTTGTTCGAGTATCGGGAACACTCTCTAGTCCCTTTGAATCTCGAAGGGGGTTACGGCAAGGTGATGGACTTTCGTGTCTGTTATTCAACATCGTGTTAGAAGATGTGATCAGAAGAGCTGGGATAGACACGAGTGGCACGATCTTCAGAAAGTCCATCCAGCTTCTTGGCTTTGCCGATGACATTGACATCATGGCACGGAACTTTGAGACGATGGCGGAAACGTACATCAGACGGAAGGCTGAAGCTAGGCGGATTGAACTTGTCATCAACGCATCAAACACAAAATACATGAGAGGAAGAGGTTCTAGGGAAATCAATGTTAGCCTCCCGAGTTTAGATTGACGGTGACGAAATCGAGGTGGTCAACGCATAATGGCAGGGAATCGTGCCTACTTTGGACTCCGGAGAACGCTCCGGTCGAATAAAATTCGCCGCCACACGAAGTTGACTATCTACAAGACGCTGATTAGACCGGTGGTCCTATACAGTCACGAGACCGTGACTATGCTCGTGGAGTACAAAAGCGCCCTTTTGAAAACATTAGGAACTGTGATATAAGAATGAATTTGTGGTCGTGACATAAACATGTACCTAGATAGCCATGGGACCGTCCTCCGGAAGATACTGAAAATCCGTACATGTTGTCCAGTGGTTTCTTATATCACAGTGTTTAAAAAAGAACTGCAGAGCTCTAGGATCAGTTTCACAGTATGACAAATTTACGGATGTTCCGGATCTTTTGGAGGACATTCCCATGGCCATCTGGATCCATGTTTATGTCACGACCCTAAATTCTATCTTAAATCGCAGCTCCAAGAGTTTTCGAAAAAAAACTACGGGTTTTTCACAGTTTTATGGATGATCCACTTTTACGGATGTTCCGGATCTTCCGAAGGACGGTGCAATAAGACCATGATGCTTGGAGGTTTGAAATCAAAGTGTGTTTTATTTTTATTCTATCGTACAGAGGCCTCGCTTCGGTCACATCGCGGTCGGTGCCTACGTGACACTTTTTGCTGCACTCAGCATAAACAATAATCGTCCGTTCTACGAACTTTGGATCATTGCGCTTTATGCTGATCTTGCACACAGAAAGGCCCGTATCCACCACACGCCCTATCTAATAAAATTTAAAAATTTATGATCTAAGTATAATTTTTTTAAATCTATGAATGTTCTAAGGGTTTCGATTTGGATATAATGTTTGCTTATTTTATTATAATATGTTATGTTTTATTCTTATCGTGTAAAGTATAGTTTAAATGAAATGCTGAATATATAATACTGAATATAAGCAGTAATGAAGAAAACAGACAATTCTTGCCGTTTTCCAATTAACAATTCTTGTACATATGAAAGCGTATATGAAACTTTACCTATTTTATCATTAATGTAATGTTTAGTTAAGATAACAGACAATTCTTGTCATATTCGTTTAATAAATTCTTAATAAGTAAGTAATCTATCTATCCACCACATGCCCCTAACCTATAGGGCATATGTATTTAATCCTATTCTTCTCTTATTTAACTAACAAAGAAAGGTTTTACACGTGATTTGTGTATTGTATCGATGTTCTTATCTAGTTGTACTTCAACATTTGGGCCTTTATCTTTTATGATTTTATAAGGTCCCAAATAGATTTTATCAATTTTGGATCCAACTTCATTCTTTAGTAAAATTAGATCTCCTTGTTTATACAACTTTTCTACTGCTGCGTTGTTATATT